GGCTGCCCGCTCAGTGATGGGCTGTGCCTGCTCCCAGTGGAGGACGAGGTTCTTGGCCCCCTGTCCGAGCACTCTTGGGCCTTGCGTCCCCTGGTCTGTACCTGCACACAGGGTGGCGGTGGCACTGGCCTGGCTGGTGGGGAGGGCAGGCCACATAATGCTGCAGCTGCACCTGAGGCCCAGAGGGGGTGGAGTGGGCCCCCGCTGGGTACACTGGACCCCTACCAGGCCCACGGGCTCCTAGCTGCACACCCTCAGGGAGAGGGCGTGACCCGCGCCCTCCCCAGGTGCTTGCACCGCTGGGCTGGCTCAGGCACCGCGGCAATCGGGCGGCACAGTGCGGTGTTCCAGCAGGGCAGCTACACATGGTGCGTTGGAGCTTGGACGGGAGCCGACCTCGGGCTGGAGCGCTGAGGGGACTAGTGTCAGGGGATGACAGACTCCATGCTTCCGGCCACCGTGGGTGCATAAACTCTGATCGTGTGAGTGCGTGCTTCTCAGGGAACACAGTGCCAACGCCGCCCACCTGCTTCCCCGCTTGCAAACAGGAGGTTACTGGGAGAGTGTTGTCTGATGGTCTGTGTTTTCCAATCCCTGGGGTCTCTGGCAACACTTCTTTTTGTACCCGAAGTCAACACACCCCGGGATCAACCCTTACTGTTCTATTTTTTTTTTTTTGGAGAGGTTTTTGCCATAGGGTGTGTGCGCTCGCCAGACAGAGAGAGAGACAGAGAGACAGAAAGCGAGAAATCACCCCCCAGGGGCGATGGCTACGCCGCAAGCCCCTCTCCTCCATTCTCCTCTGGGATCTTGGGCACATGCGCCCGGCGTGAGTTTTAAGCCATCGGGTCTGGGACGTGAACTGCAGTCGCCTACGTGGGAGTCAGCGACAGAGCCATCACGCCAACTGCTGGTCCCGACCCTTACTATTCTTTCCAAACAATCACTGCATCCTTCCTCCTAGACCCCAGTGAGCATGGAGGCCTGGAGCCCGAGGTCTGTGTGTGGCCTCACCCGCTCCACTCAGACCCGTGTCCCGAGTAGTGAATCCGTTACTCCATGGCTATTCAGGCGACTCTGGCGGACCTCACAGCCGAGGGGCTGAGGGCCGAGGGCCGAGGCAGGCTTCCGTAAGCAACAGCAACTATGAAAGATTACTGGAGCAAAGATGCCACCTGGCTTCTAAGTAACGCCCCAGCTTTCAAAGGCTGGGGGCGTTGTATCCGAACCACTCAGGACCAGACCGGGGTCTCTCCAGTCTAGAACATTTGCAGCTACACCATGAGATGCTGGGATGCTGCTGCGTGAGCCCCAGGGCACGGTGTCCGCGGCAGGGCGCTGGTGTCTGCGCCGCAGCCGTCCAACAGACCCGCCGCGCAAGGTCAGGTGTGGCTGCGCTGGTACTCAGAGAGCTTTGCGACTCGGATCATTTCGGATTTTGGATGTGAGGTTAGGAGTGTTCACCCGGTACTAACATTTACTTACTGCTCCAGCTGTGGGGAGTCTGTCCCAGTTTCCATGCGGGGTCCTCCTTGCCCTCTGGGGAAGATGGATCCCCACAGCAGAGGGCCAGGTCTGTCATTTCCACCGCGGCGAGGAGGGACTCGGGAGGAAAGGCCTCAGCAGCGTGCGCAGTGCATGTGAACGGGCACAGGCAGGCGGCCTCGGACCCGCCCAGCGCAAGCAGGCGCGGCGGGCAGCACTCACCTTCACGGGGAACTTGAGCTGGTTGTACAGCTCCGACACCAGCAGGCTGTGCCCCAGCGTCTTCCTCATCTTCATTATGCGGACAATGGCGGCATCGATCTGGTACTGGCGGTCCTGGAACACGCGCTCGGTGGTGCTCGCCTGCTCCTCCACCTGCGGGGCAGACGGCATGAGTGCCAGGAAGGGCCAGCCCCGAGCCTTGCTCTGCTGCGCCTCCCCGCCCGAGCAGAAGCTGGCTGCCCAGGGCAGCGGAATGCGTCGCCCACCTAGAAGAGCCGCGAAGTTACACTTTCCTCAGGAAACCTGCGGGGACGGCCGCCTGCGGTGAGCCATCCAGGCCGACTCCAGGAAGGTCAGGGCCTGTCCCTCACAGCGCGTGACACTGAGGGTCGCGCACACGGTGCTGGTCAACATGGGAATGGCACTGGGCCGCGAGGGCCCGGGCTGGGGCACTTTCTTTTTGAAGTGAGCCGTGACTTACCATCAACAGACGGCCCCACAAAACCCCGTGGTCAGGTCACCCCTTCCCATGTTCTCGTTCCTCTCACGCATCAAGGGGGGCCCTGCACAGGGTCTGGCTGTGCTGTACCCCTCCCCAGCGAGCAGTCCGGGGCACATGCTCCACGTCTTCCAGGCCAACTAGGCTGGGAGTTCAAACTACAGTCAGCGTGTGGGACCTGGCCTCTCTGGAGCAGCGCATTCCCGCCCACTCCATGGAACCAGCCCAGAGGGTTGTTCTCTTTTTGAGATTTTTGCTACAGGGCACGTGCACTGGCCAGAGAGACAGCGTGCGATAGAAAGCGAGCCATCACCCTCCTCTCGGGTTACATGGACACACATGTGCCTGCTAAGTTTAAAGCGGCTGGGTCCCGGCCCAACTGCGGCTACGTGGGAGTCCAGTACCCTCACCTGTGCTACCTCTGGCCCCGCCCGCCATCCCCCAAGAACTGTACCTTGGGAGTGCAGTCGTTGATAACAGCCCGAGGGCCTACTGGAAAACCTGGCTTTACTCAGGCTGGCTGGGAAACCCAGAAAACCAAGTGAAAAGCCATTTAAGCCAAGGAGTTTCACAAACTGGCTGGAAGTTAGAGAAACACCCCACTGCGGCAGCGTAACGGGGCTGCTAGCCAGCACCAGCCGGGTCGTACCTGGCCCTGGGAGTGCAGTCGTTGATAACAGCCCGAGGGCCTACTGGAAAACCTGGCTTTACTCAGGCTGGCTGGGAAACCCAGAAAACCAAGTGAAAAGCCATTTAAGCCAAGGAGTTTCACAAACTGGCTGGAAGTTAGAGAAACACCCCACTGCGGCAGCGTAACGGGGCTGCTAGCCAGCACCAGCCGGGTCGTACCTGGCCCAAGTGCCTCGGCGGGC